GATGTTAATCCCTCTCCCTCACACTGTCACTCAGTAACCCCTCTCCCCCCCCCAGGGCCCTGTGTTACTGACTGTATCTCTGCTGATGTTAATCCAGCTCCCTCACACTGTCACTCAGTAACCCCTCTCCCCTCCCCAGGGCCCTGTGTTACTGACTGTATCCCTACTGATGTTAATCCAGCTCCCTCAGATCTGCTGTCCCTGCTCTGTGAGTGTCTGATGGGGTTAGCTTTACTCTGTATCTAACCCCGTGCTGTCCCTGTCCCTGGGAGTGTTCGATGGCGGGGGGGGAGGTGGGGTGGTGTAGAGGGAGCTTTACCCTGTACCTAACCCCGTGCTGTCCCTGTCCTGGCAGTGTTTGATGGGGCGGGGAGGTGGACAGTGTACAGGGAGCTTTACCCTGTATCTAACCCCGTGCTGTCCCTGTCCCTGGGAGTGTTTGATGGAGGAGGGGGGGGCGGTGTAGAGGGAGCTTTACCCTGTATCTAACCCCGTGCTGTCCCTGTCCCTGTCCCTGGGAGTGTTCGATGGGGGGGGCAGTGTAGAGGGAGATTTACCCTGTATCTAACCCCGTGCCGGGAGGTGACAGCAGACTCACTCTCTGTGATGAGGTTAATATTGGTGGAGATGGCCGTGCCGTATGTGTTGCTGGCGTAGCAGCGGTACGTCCCCTGGTAACGCCTGATGGAGACCCCGTTGGCAGAGGTGGCAATAACTACGGTGCCCGAGGTGGCGTTCATCGTGGCCCGGGGGTCCTTTGTCGGATCGAACACCTTCCCGTCCTTCGTCCAGCGGAACCTACGCCCCGGAGAAACCAAAAGCCAATCAGGGTCAATATCAGACGCGATGTTCCTCACAAAGAGAAGGACATTCCTGTCTTTCCGGCTGCGGGATCTTGCTGTGCACCGACACCTTTAGTCTTCAGCCGAAAAGCTGGAGGTTAAGAGAGGCAATTGGGGACGGTGGTGCGGGGAGGTCTGGAGTTTGGTTTAGGCAGTTGGCTTGGGCCAAGCTCTTGTACAAGACCTTCACACTGTCACAATGCCAGCACGTGGGGCTCAGTGGTTAGCGCTGCTGCCTCACGGCGCCAGGGACACGGGTTCGATTCCAGCCTCGGGCAACTGTCCGTGCGGGTTTACACGTTCTCCCTGCGTCTGCGTGGGTTTCCTCCGGGCGCATCAGTTTCCCTCCACAGTCCAAAGATGTGCGGGTTAGGGTGGATTGGCCGTGCTAAATCGCCCTGTAGTGCCCAGGGATGTGCGGGTTAGGGTGGATTGGCCGTGATAAATTGTCCCATTGTGCCCAGGGATGTGCGGGTTAGGGTGGATTGGCCGTGCTAAATCGTCCCGTAGTGCCCAGGGATGTGCGGGTTAGGGTGGGATTGGCCGTGCTAAATTGTCCTGTAATGCCCAGGGATGTGCGGGTTAGGGTGGATTGGCCATGCTAAATTGCCCTGTAGTGCCCAGGGATGTGCAGGTTAGGGTGGATTGGCCATGGGAAATGCAGGGTTACAGGGATAGGACAGGGTTGGGGGAAAAGACCTTGACTATTCACCTTATCTATGCCCCCTCCTTTGCAATTGTTTCTCTGCCTTTAGATCAGGAGAGATTAGCAGAGCTAAATTCCTCGCAGCAGTCCAACAGAATGAGTTAATATTTTGTGCCCAGGGTAGATGTGTCAATGAGTAGGGGACATAGGTTCAAGGTAAAAGGGAGTGAGTTTAAAGGAGATGTGAGAGACAGGTTTTCTTTTACAGAGAGATTGATAAGTGCCTGGAGTGCGCTGCCTGAGGAGGTGGGGAGGGCAGATACAATACCAACATTTAAGAAGCATCTGACAGATACATAAACATCCAAGGAATAGAGAGATATGGACTGCCCAGAGGCTAGAGATTGGAGTCTCATCATGCAGACAGGGCCCCAAATGGTACAGTACCCTCTCATTCTTGCTGCTTTACATTGAGCTGAGCTGGTGCTAAAGTTCCTGACTGGTTATATTTCTGTAAATCTCCCATCACAATGCCAACAGCCGGCTGTAAATGTTCCTTCTGACAGTGCTCACAAAATCTCTCTCAGGTGAGCCCCCATCCTACAGTGTAAACAAAATATTAACTCATTCTGTTGGACTCTAGCGAGTAATTTAGCTCTGCTAATCTCTCTTGATCTAAAGGCAGAGAAAACAATTACAAGGGAGGGGGCATAGGTAAGGTGAATAGTCAAGGTCTTTTCCCCCAACCCTGTCCTATCTCTGTAACCTGCATTTTCCATGGCTAACCCACCCTAACCCACACATCCCTGGGCACTATGGGACAATATAGCACAGCCAATCCACCCTAACCCACACATCCCTGGACACTGCGGGACAATTTAGCACGGCCAATCCACCCTAACCCACACATCCCTGGGCACTATGGGACAATTTAGCACAGTCAATCCACCCTAACCCGCACATCCCTGGGCACTACGGGACAATTTAGCACGGCCAATCCACCCTAACCCGCACATCCCTGGGCACTACGGGGCAATTTAGCACGGCCAGTCTCACCCTAACCCGCACATCCCTGGGCACTACGGGACAATTTAGCACGGCCAATCCACCCTAACCTGCACATCCCTGGGCACTACGGGACAATTTAGCACGGCCAATCCACCCTAACCTGCACATCTTTGGACTGTGGGTGGAAACCGGAGCACCCGGAGGAAACCCACGCAGACACACGGGGGAGAACGTGCAAACTCCACACAGACAGCGGCCCGAGCGTGGAATCGAACCCAGGTCCCCGGCACCGCGAGGTATCAGTGCTAACCACTGAGAGCACCCCCACCCCCACAACCTCTAATAGGCCAGTGGGCAGTTAATGAGTCAACTATATTGCTGTGGGCCTGGAGTCACGTGTTGGCCGGACCGAGCGAGGATGGGAGTTCCCTTCCCTGAGGGACATTCGTGACTCAGACGGGTTTATCCAAACGTCAATTCATGGACAACGTGAGACTCTTAATTCCCAGATGTTCAGTGAATTGAAACTCCCCGTCTGCTATGGGCGTGATTCGAAACTGGATCCCTGGAATAACAGTCTGGCAATAGTGACACTGACCACTGCCTCGCGCTTGTTGTTTTCTGTACAGGAGGAGGTGTGGGGATACGAGCTCAGTGGTAAGGCCCTGTCACTCGATGTAACAAATAGTTGAATGTAATGAGAGGTCAGCGGTGGGGGGTGGTGGGGGGGGGAGTCAGGATTTTGATTTGGTTGCAACCTCGGTCCAGGCGACTGGAATTATTCCGGGAGAACGAATCATCCTGCTTTCATGGAATTGTCTCATTGCAGCGAACACAGAAGGTAACGGTGCAGGATTGGGAAGGGGAGAGGAGGGGAGGACTACAGAGTGTGTCGAAGAGCTGAGGACGGCCGAGGTCTCACTGAGGATTTACGGCTCCACATTCCCGCTCCCCCACCCCCCAAAACCGCCAGCCCAGTAAATCCGCAGGGTATACTGCACGGAGAGCCAACACTTTACGTCAGCCCAACCCTTAACCCCAGCCTCATAAACACAGCTGCCTGTTCAAGGTGACCTGTCGACTCCCGCGGGGATTCATCACTGGCCTTTAATGCCTGCGAAGACAGCTCAAAGGGCTTGCTCCTGAGCCCGTTCCTGGTGTACACACGATGTATAGGCCCTTCCCCAGTGTACACACGACGTATAGACCCTTCCCCAGCGTACACACGACGTATAGACCCTGCCCCAGTGTACACACAACGAATACCAGATTCTGACCCTGCCCTAGTATACACACGACATATACCAGTCCCAGACCCTGCCCCAGCATACACACGACGTATACCAGTCCCAGACCCTGCCCCAGTGTAC